AAAGAGCCTGCTGCTGCAGGTGATGGAAGCAGAGAGGCCAGTCTGAAGATGGGCTGCCCAAAAGCAGGAGAAAGCAAGAAAGCCCCTATGGAGAGGGATTCGCTCACAAACACCACAATATGTTTTTATCCAGGAGTGACCCTCCGCTAGAAGGTCTGCACGTGCAGGGCTCCCCCCGCAACACGGCCGCGCTCCCGGCGCCTGAACAGAAGCCGAGGGCTGGAGCTGTCGGAGAGAAAACAAATGGAGCCACGGAGGTGAAAGCACTGTCAATCAAACTGCAGCTGTACAATGGGCACTAATGACTCCTGGCCTAATTACTACAGGTACCATGTGGTAACGCCGAACACCATCCCCACCCCGGCCGCCCTGAATTGCTTTTGCAAGAGCATAGATGGGAACACGCTTGGTGTAACTCAATTTACTTTGACACAGTTACTTCAAGGATGAATTTGCTCCCTGCAGGAGTGATTTTAAATGGAGTACTTTAGGTCCATTAGATGTAGCTGTTTTTAGCCCAGTTGCTGGGACAATAGCTATTCTAACAGGGTTTTTTAAAATGTGGCTTATTTTCACATAATAGACTATCACTAATTTTCGCATTTAAATGACACTCATTTCAAGAAGTCCTGCTATCAGTAATGCTGGCTGCTACGTAAATAATCACAGAAAACAAAATAATGTCCTGGTGCCAGATAGGCGAAAAACGACTTTCTGCAACTCCAAGAGCCTTGTCTCCCGCCTCAGTTTTCCTTCTACTGAGAACGCCCAGGCAGCCAGAGGAGCTAGGGCCTCAGGAAGTACTGCTGGGTGGGCGAGGGGAAAAAGGCTGTGATCCACCCGATGAGTCACGTACCATCCCACCGGTGTCATGCCAGTGGCTGGGGACCAGCCCCAAGCCTGGAGAGGGCTGAAAGCAGCACTTATATTCTATTCCGCTTTGGGTTTGTATTTGTAACTAAATGGGAAACTTACAGCTTGTATAAGGATAATTCAGTGTATGCTTCACCACAGCCATTTGGTTTTTACTACCCACGGCATGAGGTGGGAAACTTAAACCATGAGATCGCTTCTGGACTCAGCTGTGCCCGTGGCAGGGGATGCTACGTCCAGTGCCTTGTCACCATCACCAAATCCAGAAGAGAAGCACCTCAGCTGCACAACACTTTTTATACTTCCTTACACTCAGGAGGACAGTGAACAGCAAAGGAACTTCTTCTACAGACACTGTCACGCTGCAATCCTTTCCACTTTGGGGGTCTGCAGACATTTGTGTGAACCAAGGGACAGTTGAATAAATAAAACAACGGATAAGCATACCATCCAAACAACAGAAAGGAAATCAGCCCATGGGTTCACCCAAGTGTCCGCAAGTAACTTTTTTTGCATTATTAATTCTGGTCTAATCACATTGCTATCAGGAAAATCAGGGGAGCAGCATCACAACGGAGAGCTTACTGACCCTACCTGCTTTGGGTTCAGCAAAGATCCCCGAGCTTCGCTTTAGCTTTGGTACACCAAGAAAGGCTGTCAGAAATTCAGTGTCTGGGTAGCTCATGAGGAGAGTTATGTGGGCACCGTGTGTCTGCTTTGCTAGCCGAGTACCCACCCACCTGAGTACAGACCAGAAAGCAGCAGCATCTGATGGCTGAACTGTCGCTGAACGGCTGATCCCAGCCCACTCCATCACCACAGCCCCCGGGATAATTACCACCGAGAAGCACCCTGAACTGTGAGAATATCCTGAAGTCCTTAGCAGCAGCTTGCAACACAAGGCCTTAAGTTTGAAATTAATAAAACAGACCCGAACAAAAGTCTTGCATTTTTACTGAAAACCCAGGATTAGCACAAAAAGGGGTGAGAATTTCCCAGGGAACTATATCACTAACAGACTAGCAAAGGTATTTTGGGTCCATATTCACCAGAAGATTTGTCTGCACAGTATTTTCCCAAGTAATTACTTTAACCATCATATTTCTGAGATGTGTTTTCATCCCTGTACTGTGCATCACTTAGGAACAGGGAACTCACCTTCCTTTCTGCCTTCTCACTTTCCTTCATTTTAGCCAACGCCTTTTTGAGCTCCTGGGATGTGAATGAATTGGAGTCCACATCCACCTTGCCCAGCCTTGCCGAGGAAACAAAACATGTTACGAGGGAACAATCGCATCTGTAACATTTTCATTGTGCTACCCTAGCAATGGATATTATCAGGAGGAAAGGAACTAAGAGCGCTAGATTTCCATGCATCTCACTTAAAAAACACAACCCCCCCCACCCCCACTCAAGAAAAGGTTAGTCCAGGTGCTATATTGTGTGTGTGGTTTGCAGACACCTCACCCTGACAATCAAAAAAGGCTCCATAATCTGCAGGCTGACTCAAAATCTCAAGTCCCAGCACAATAAAAACAGCTGATTAATTTGTGCCTCTGAATTTCACGTAGCAATGCAGAAAAGCAGGCAAGGTTTCAGAGGAAAAGCAGAAGCCCACCGCTGTGCCACTCCGTCGTTGCTAAGGACTTGCAGGCTGCAATGGGGAGATATGCTGGCTGGAGTTCTGATGATTGTCAAACACGAGAGTTAGGGCAAGGGTAAATCAAGCAGAAGTTACACAGAAATGCTAAAACCAGGTTGTGTTGGTCTTTACACCTATCCCTTTGGTTGAGAGAGGGATTGTTTATCTGGGCCACAGGCACTCTTTCACACAAAAAGGAAAGCCAGCTGTGCTGAAGAGCCTCTCCACGCTCTGAACGGGTGTAACGGGGAGCGAGGGAGCAGGGTTAAACAGCCCCGTGATTGAGAGAAGGAAGTTCCCCATCGTAACTAACCCTGCCTTTGTCAGGAGGGGGCTAAGGGGAAGGTCAGCACCAGTAAACCTTTCAAAACAAATGTTAAAATGTGGTGAGAGGGAAAGCTGTGTGATCTACGGAGCACGTCAGCAATAACCGGCGTGGAAATGAAGGCTGCAAGCCCGCTGACTGTCCCGCGTTACCACCAGTGCTTTCTGGCTGAGGTCAGCACGAACAGAGCCTCTCACAACTGCTCTGGTGGTTTAAGCTTGGAAAGTAGTTTCAGACCAGTTGCTGCAGATGTTTCCGTGGACTAAACATCATTCAAAGAAGCCACGTTGCACAGTCAGTTTTGGTGCTGTGGCATGAGATGGTGCCAATGCAGCCATGCTCAGGGCTCTTCCACTGCCATCCCGAAGGGATCACAAAGGATGGGGCTCAGTTGTCACTGCGGAACCCTTAAACCAACAATCAAGTCTCAGGCAGAGACAGCAACTGAGTGCATCAGGGAACTTGGCCTCAAATGAAACACAGGAATCCCACAGCCCGCCCATACCTGATGCTTTGCATCACCGTACCTTTTCCTTCTTCTCTCTTTTCCTGTGTCACCTTTCCCATTTTCGCTATCTGGGAGCTTGGCTTCTCTGTCTCCCGTCTGCAGATTTAACCGTACGTGTGAGCCTGCAGGAACAGCTTGACCTACAAAACAAGGTCAGACAGTTGTAGAGCACGTGCATTGTTTTGGCTTCATGCAGGAAGGGCGAGCTACAGGTGCACGCTCCAACCCGGAAGACAGGAAAGCCTCATCCCGTGTGGTGAAGAGCAGCAGGCTGTTCGCCGCCAACGCTCTCCCCTCCAGCAATACCCCTGTGACCCATTTCACCTCGCAGAGATGCCACCCTGACCCACCTAACACAACACCATGCAGCCGGGCCGGAGGAGGGATCCCAAGCAGAGCAAAGCACCGGCTCCCTCATTCCTCCTCGGCCAATCCCCAAGACAGCACTAACACTCCTCATCAGGAGCAGGTCTGGAGACTATCTGGGGAAAGGGGAATTGGTTGCTGATTGGGGTAGACAACATAAAATACAGCTGCCAAAGTGAAATCAAAGCATCCTGCAGAGTACAGCCAGGTAATGCTGAATATCAAGTGTACCGCAGCGAGTTTGGAAATATTGTATTAAAAGGAATATATGATCACTACTATCTGCCAACAAAAATACACAGAATACATTAAGCTTTGGTTTTAAATGAAGAGAAGATGGGAAATTCAGAGTGTTTTTTCTTGGTCACAATTCACCACAGGCAGGTCACGACAGCCAGCCGTCGCAGAGGGATGGGGAGGTGGCAATATCTGGTTGCTGCTTCTCGATGTCGCTGCTCCTTCTTCCAGTGCTAGAAAGCTGGCTGCTCAGGAAAGCAGGGTCAAGGCTGAATGAATACGGAGATCTTGGCCGCACGCAGAGGGATCAGACGGACACACAGCTGTTCATGCTCCTCTCTCTCAGTGAGGTTTCCCTATTCAGCCTTTCCTTTCCCTGCTTCCTCTTCAGGTAAAAAACATCTAGGATAACATACCACAGCATGTCGGAGACAGGTAGCATCTCCTACCAAAGGAGCGCAGACAAGGGTAATTATTTTCTGCAATAAATACATGTTCTCAAAGACAAAACCCTCGAGTCTAGGGAACAACCGGATTGATCCCCCCTCCTCAAGACCAAAGAGACATTTCACTGATCAAAGGACCTGGTGCTTTCTACAAAAAAACAGAATGTTTGTCAGAATCCATACAAAAACATTTCAAAGCCTAAAGCCATCCAGCAGGTAAAAATGCACTTGGGGAAAAAACAGGGAAACTCATTTTGGAGGATTTCAGGGCGCATTCTGATAGCTCCTCCTTCCCTCCAGCACATCCTGTCTGCAGGAACTTGCATTGGCCGGATATACGAGGGGACACACCTGATTATCGTCCCGTGGTTACCTGTGCAAGGACAGGCTAGGTATGCCTCCTCCTCCCGCTTTCCAACTCTCCTCCCGATCCTTCACTTGTGACAGGCGGGAGCTTTAATCTGTATGTCTAGCTAGAGATCATCTTCCCGCTTTCCAAAGGTGAGCTGTGCAGGAATCTGCGGCGACAGCAGAGCCGCCCCCTCGCAGGTGATGCGGCAACGCAACTGGGATGTGCCGGTCGGAAAGGGGTCTGTAGGATCTCCAGGAAAAGGACAATGCCGCATCTCCTCTCCCTGTTTCAGGCGACATTGAGGCAGGGGGCTGCCAGCAAGGGAAAAAGTGCATTATAAAATGGGGTTGCATGCTGAGCACACAGATGCGGGAGGATGTCTTCCTCCCCACGGACACAAACATCGCTCGGGGGAGAAAACAAGGGGTGAGCTGGATCCTTCCCTTCCCAAAGCCAGCGGCTGTCCTCGCTGGCACTGGGACAGCTCAGCTTACAAGCACAGAAGCAAGTGCTGAATTTTCAAGCCCAGCCAGAAATAAATGTCCCCGCTGGAAGAGTACAGTGTATTCTGGCTGTCTGCTCCCCGTGCATCTGGCCACGTTAGTTCACTCGGTTGCCTGGGGAGAAAGAGGAGGCTGATGGGCTTTGCTCAAAAGAAACATCAAACGGGACAGCGAGGCAGCAGCCTCCAGAAGGGCCAAGCGACTCCCGCGTGCCTGGTCCTCCCAGCTTCTCTTTTCAGCGAGCGCTGAAGAACAGAGAACACAAACCCCGGCGCGCACAGACCCAGCTCAGCCCAGTGAAGGAGGTTGGCATCAGAGAAGACGCAAACCTTCCCTGCTCCCGCTTCTTCCCGCTTTCCTAAGCGAGACCGCCCTAAGCCCAGAGCAGAAATCTCAGCCCTGATGTGTGTAAGCGGCCCCCGTTGCCACAGGGATTTCTTCCCGCCACCGTGCAGAGCGGCGCGGGCTCACGCACAGCGGGACGAACACGCTGCCTCATGAAACAAAGCGAGAAAGACGTCTCCGCTTTCAGCAAAGACTGGTGTACTCACTTAAAACATTCCAGATGTCTGAGACAGGACGAGGCCTTCAGTGTGTAGTTTGGGGTATTTTGAGGTATCATTCATAAAGTGTGTTTGAGGGTGGGCTGAACTGAATAATGTGATTAAAATTGCTGATTTGAATGAGCAAGCTGAAAATGCTGAATTTTAATCATGTTTCAATATGTAGCTTCCAGACATTTCCCTTAAAAATAGTTGATTCTCTTTGAATCCTATCACTTGATACTATTCAATAACTGGGAGCACGCACCGGAGCGATACATATGTAATTACACAGCTTCACGTGCTGTTGATACGGAATCACACTCTTAATAGCTTTTTTTTCCCCAGAGGAATTCATTTTTTTACTTATTGTTTGTATTAAGTTGCATCTGGGAAATGAAACTCAATTAAAAAAAAAAAGCCTATATTTAAGCAATTTTCCAACCTTTTTTTCTCCTTGACACCTCAGAAAAATAAAAGATGTGTATCCAAACGCGTTGCGTTGTATATCTGCGTTACTGAACGGAGCCGAGCAGTCCCAATTTCCAGAGATCTCCAAATCCTACAGCCGCTACATCTCATCCTGCCCTACTCCCTCACTCCCTATAACGGGAAAGAAGAGCTTCCATTTTAACGAACTTCCCAACTCCGAACCTTCCACGCAGCGAGTGAAACGTAGCTGTGAGAACCCCTCCGTGAACCCACAGAAGAGGCTACAGTCGTCAGAGGAGAAAGCCAGCAACCTCCTTCCCCCCAAACCAGTTTGTATTCCTACCACTTACAAAATTTCCCATACTTGGAAGTTTTTTAAACCACAGCTGAAATTATTTGAACACACACTCCCGCATGAACGTGGGTTGATGGATCCAGGAGACAGCTGTGGTGTTTAAACCCAACTGGGATGTGCTGCCTGCCTGTCGCTCTGTCGCTCAGCCCTTCGCCTCGCAGCCAAAATATAGCATCCAGCAGGTGAAACACCTCCGGAGGATAACAATCCCTTGCCACTGCACAAAGGACAAGGTATTTATTGGGAATAAATGTCAAAGCAAAGCGACAGCGTTTCTTTTCCAAGCTGATCCTGTGGCAACACGCTGCTATGACGATGTTATTCCTGTTCTCCATTTAATCCCTTTATCTCTCGGTGCCCGCTGCGGGAGCCTCAGGAAGGGCTTTGCTCTCCGGCACGAGCTGGAGCACGACTGCTGACTTGGACCACCCGCCGGACAAACCGCCACTGCGCCTGGGTGCTGCCACGCGCCCACGCATCCGCAGCCTGAAAACGCACGGGCTTCTGCAGGTCTTCCCAGCGCGTTAGCATTCGTTTTATTCGGATATGCTCAGCCTGTCCTGAAAGTTGCTTAAAGTGACGCCGAGGAAGAATTTAATTTATAGCCCTATTCTTTTAATCTTGGTCAGCCAGATTTTTTCAGACATCTGTTTATTTCTTCTTATAATATATTAGTTGGAGTAACAGCACCGGAGTCGTCTTCAAGGCAGAAACTCACTCGCAGGGGTGCTGCTGACATTTATAAACTGATCTTATTTCTCTCCTGTGTTTTATCTTATCAGCTAAACCTGTCGACTTAAATTATTGCCTTGTAACCAAATCACAGTTATCTGTTACTCCGTTCGGTGTACATTTCTGAAGCTCCATACCTATATCAAGCTTTGCAGAGGTTGGAAACAAGACGATAAATAAATAAACAAATGGAAAACAGACCATGCTCCCACCACACTCACAACTAAGGCAAGAATCAGGCACGTTATACACGGGATAACTAAAAGCAGAAGGCTGCTGTGCTGAATATCCACCACCCAGTCATGTCCAAGTAACCCCACCTCTCCTCTTCCAGACCAAGTGACCAACCGTGTTTCCTCACTGAAGGAGAAAGGCCTCATCCTGCTCAGCTACTTTCCAGTACATGATTTCATTTCCTGCTGCCCACAAGCAGTTTAGCACCTCTGCACAGAGACAAGGCTGAGCCCCAGCTCACTACGCAGCAACAGGCAGGCATTAAAAATAACCGGGGGAGCTTTACGCCATATGCAGACCTCATATCAAGATTGTGCACAACTCACTACGCTCCTGGCAGCAGCTTCCCCATCCCCTGCCCACCCCTTGGACCCCCAAGCTGCCCAGCAAGAGAAGCCCAGTAGGGAAATGAGACCTTCCCTCTCTTCCTCTGGCACCACTTTGTCCGTTCCCCCGGGGAAGGCTTCTGCAGGCAGAAAAAGGGTGACCCAGCTCGCTGGGGCAGATCCCCCGGTCTCTCCCCAGGGAGTGTCCTCATTTGCCATTGCAAAAGAAAACATAAAGCTATTAAGGGTGTGAAAACAAACCACAGTTATGAGTCAGTAACGGCCCCTGCAGTTCTCAGAAATCACCTTGGTATCTCAGCAGGCATCAGATAGCATCTACCTGTCTTCACTCTTTGTTTCTCTCAGCACAGGGGGAAAAGGGACTTTCTAATAGAGGCAACAAAAGAATCCACAAATCAATACGTGAATGTTCCCAGCAAAACAAACCGGCAGTGCTGCGATATTAAAAATAATAAGGCTGCACAAGGCTGGCAGAGCATCCACAAAACGTTATCTGATGGCACCATGCCTACTCCTCTAATAAAATAATGATTAAAAATCCACAGGGAGACGAATCCCAGGAAGCAGCAGAGCTCCCCTCTGCCCCATCACTGG